GTTTTGTGTTCTGAGTAATTTCTGTGCTCCATTGTGGTTTTTTGGGGGTGTACACACAAGCATCTAAATGTTGGTTTAAAATGACAGTGTTGACTAAAGATGTGCTTTTTATGATAACAAAATGCCTAACAAAAATCCTTTAAAAAGATAATTTCCTTTCATCTCATGATCTCATGTAGAGAAAAGTGAAGTTAACTTTTTTTGTATGTGTGGTACCGGAGACTGAATCTAGGGCCTTCATAATACTCCACAGGCACACTACCACTGATTTATTTATGCTGCTACCATATTAAAATAAAAAAATGAGACAGAGTCTCACTAAATTGCTGGGACTAACCTTGAACTTGCTCTTGAGTTTTCCCAGGCAGGCTTTGAATTTTCTGTCCTCCATCCTCCCGAGTAGTTGAGATTACAGACCTGTGCTACCAGGCCTAGACTCACAGTTAATCATTTTGCTATGAATTTTCCTGTGGGTTGTTACAGTGTGAGTGGAACAGAGTGGATAAATAAGAGGACATTGGGAAGGAAAACAAACTGATTCGAGGGGATGCTTCTACTAAAATGAACAAATATCAATGACAGTAGTAAAATAGCGGAAGCTATGCTGTAAAGTCCATGGGTGGTCTATGGTGTAAAGTCCATGGTGTAAAGTAGATGGGTGGACAAATACAGTTGCTTAAACTCATCTTGGGTCAGGGCATTGGTATCCGTATTTTGAATATTCATGATGTACAGATGGGATTTGAAGCCATGGAGGGAGGAAAGCTACAGTCTCTTCCTTCCCTGTAAAAAGCAGCACAGGGATGTGAAAGACAGTCAAGGGCATTGGAGTCTCTCATTTACAAGCTGATTATGGCAAGTCTCCCAGAACCCTTTTCCCAGGCTCTGGATCTGAGCCCCTGTGCACTCGTGTGTAAGCATAGAGTGACTGGATATCTCAAAATGTGTGAGCCTGCGGCTCAGAGGGTAAAAGTCAGACATAGGATAATTAGTGGCTGACTGACTCATAAATGCCCACAGAACCAAAAAAATATGTGTCAGGAGTAATAGTGAGGCCACTTATCAGAAAGATTGTAGGCAACTTTATACTATTCTGGGAAGAAAAGTTACAATACATATTTGAGTCATTGATTCAACTAATTATACATAAGGACTAGGAGATGGCTAAGGGTGTTTGCTGCACAAGCATGAGGTCCCTAGAACCCATGAAAAAAGCTGGACATGGCCATCTGCACCTGTAACTCCAGCCTGGGAGGTGGGGTAGGAGAGTCACTGGGCTTACTGGCTGCCAATCAAGTTCCAGGTTCAGTCAGAGACCCTGTTTCTACGGAATAAGGTGGAGAACAATAGAGCAAGACCTCAGATGTCCTCCTCTGGTCTCTGTACACATGCTTATGGGCATGTGCACCCCCACGTGCATAAACCACACCCAAACACCCCACTCACATATACACACATAAAAAAACAAAAACTAAACTTACAAGATTGAAGATAACTATTTTTGTATCCATGCCTAGCAGTTAAGAACAGTGTATGATAAGATGGGGAGAGAGTATGAGTGGAACTGGTCCTGGAACTCTTTTCATGTTCTGCTTGAATTAAGCTCATTATTATACATCTCCTGGACAGTACATTTTCCCAGAGGTTGATGGACTCCAAGGCTAATGTTTCAGATCTTTTTTTTTCTTCTCTAGACTTCAAGAATCTAGAGTGGGAATGCAATTGCCCCTTTGCTTTGGGGCTTCTGCCTCTTATCTGTGGAGGATAGCCCAGTGCTTTGGCCCTGTATATACTTGCTGTGTAACAAACTTACCCCAAACCTAGCAATGTCAATAAACAAATATGCAGGTTTTTAAAGACTCTTTCAGGAATTTAGAGCGCATTTCGCTAGGGCAGGGACTCTTGCAAGTTTGCAGTGAAGGTGTGATCCAGGGGAGCAGTCATCCTAAGGCTTGAGTAAGGGCAGATCTGTATTCAAGCTCACTGAGGCAGCAGCTGGCAAGATTCAACTCCTGGGCTGTTGGATGGAAGGTCTTATTTCCTGACAGACAGTTATCTGAAGGCCATGCTCATTTCCTTGTCAAGGACTTAATCAAAATAAGCCAAGAAACGAGAGCACACTCTCCTTAAGAGAGCGAGCCAAATACAAGTTGGTGATGATGTAATCCTGAAAACCTTTTATCACGTTTGCACATCTTCATTAGAAGCAAATCTTGGTAGGATGTAGTTTGGTGGTACAGCACTAGCTTAGAAGGATTGGAGGAGGGGGGGCAGGAAGAGGAAGAGGAGGGGAGGAAGAACAGGAAGAGGAAGAGGGGGAATTACAGTGGAGGAAGAACAGTGAGGAAAGAGGGGAGGAGAGGAGGAGAGGTTGGAGGATGCCTGGAGGAGGAGGATTGGAAGACGTGGAGCCATGGAGAAGAAAGAGTAGAGGAGGACATGTGGAGGAGGAGAAGAGAAAGAAGAATGGAGGAGGAGAAAGAGTGGAGAAGGGGCAGAGGAAGAGGAGTGGAGGAGGAGGTTGAAGAGAAGCAGCAGTAGCAACGAATTTCCCTTATTAAAGGGGAGTTACACAGCATGTGAAGATGCAGAGATTAGATTCATTGAAGGGCTCAGAAGTCATATGAGGCTCACGCTGTTCTTTCCCTCATCATTGCTAGTTGCATACTTGTCCTTACTAGTGAATGCTAAGCACAACCCTGTGTTAAATTGAGCAGATTGGATGGAGCAAGCTTAGCGAGCATCTTCTTTCTTTGTATATAGAATTTTAAAGTGAGCATATATTCACTGCCTTTAGTAGTGGATTCTATAGAACATTTCCCTTTTTATTCACATGTATCATGTTCTTTGACCATATTCACCCCACTGACTGTACTTGGTTGGGGGAATTATGTGATTCCTGAGGTGGGGTGTCTCCTGTGTTCATTTGCTTTTCCCAGTTGGCCAATTCTGCAGGCTTCCTTGTTGGTCCCTCCTCCTGTGGTGATCTTTTGCCAAACGTCTGTGCTTGATCCTCTTTCTCAACCACTTATATTTCATCCCCTCACACATTTTTTCCTCATGTGAAACTCATACAACTTGTTGCATTTACCAAGCCTCTTTAAAATTTGTTATTACTTTGAGTGTGCATGTGCCATAGCACACATGTGGAGGTCAGAGGACAATGTGTGAGAGTGGGTGTTCTCCTAGCATGTGGGTCCCAGGGATTGAACATGGGTCACCAGGCTTGGTGGCAAGCACCTTTTACCCAATCAACCATATAACTGGCCACCAAGCTACTTTCTGAACGTGTGGCCCACGAAATGGACCAATGGATAAAGGCATCTTCTGCCACACTTGAAAACCCGAGTTTGATCCCTGAACCCACATAGTGGAAGGAGAAAACTTACTCCTGAAAGTTGTCCTCTGACCTTCACATGTAACACACACACACACACACACACACACACACACACACACACACGAAAAAAATGTAATAAAAATTTTAAGCTGTTGTCTAAGTGAAAAGTGTGGTATTTTTCCTGCTTCTTGGGCATTGGAGCCTTAGATGTGAACAGCAAAGTCAGAAATATGTTCGTTGCTTTGCTTAAGACCAGAGTTGGCAAAATTTTCCTTAAAGGGCCAGAAGACAATTCAAGGTTTTGCAGACCAGTCTCTACTGCAAGTACCCAACTCTGTTGTGGTACAGAAACTGTCATTGACAACACGAAAGGAATGGCAGAGCTGTGTTCTGTTGGAACTGACTATGAATTCTGTAGTTTGTATTTTGTTGTTGTCACATAGCACAAAGTCTTCTGATTTCTTCTCAACCATTGATAATACGTATTTGTTATTTATTGGCAAATGGCTTGATTAGGATACAATTCATATTCTATGAACCTTTGTTTTTATAAGGTGTGGTGCTGCTCCACTTCCAATTATATGTGGTCCTGGAGCTGGAACCCAGGGCTTCACTCATACTAAGCAAGCACTCTACCAACTAAGCTACATCCCCAGTCCTCTTTTCAATCATGTAAAATGTAAAAGTCATTCCTAGTTGATGTGGGCTGGATTTGGCTCAGGAGGTACAATTTGTTGACTCTTCTTAAAACCAAGACAGAACTATGAAAGCTCCTCACAATATCAGGGGATTGAGTATTAAGTTTTATTTCCTCTTTTTGAGGAAAAATTGTATGGAAGTTTTATTTTTATTGCTTATATATTATTGAATCTTTCATATTACTAAACACTACTTATATTTAAAGAACCATTTCATTAGCTATTAAGCACATTTTAATTTCCGTAAGTAATAGTGTCTAGTTAGCTTTCTTAAAAGGTGATGCAATTTATTTCTGTTTTCCCTTTCAGCTTCAAAATTTCCTTTAAATTGCACAGCTACAAGAAACAGCCACTTGTTAATTTACTAGAATTTAACAACTGCTTATTAAATGTAGAAAATTAGGCTAGATTAAGTTGAGACAGGTTTTTTTTTTTTTTTTGAGATAGGGTCCTCATATAACCAAGGTTGACCTTAAACTTCCTCTGTAGCCAAGGATGAACTTGAATTGCTGATCCTCCTGCCTCCACCCCCCAAGTGCTAGAATTATAGGCATGCAACACCACATCAGGTTTGTATACTGCTGGGGATGGAACTTGGGACTTTGGGCATGCCCGCAAGCACTGTGCCCACTGAGCTACATACCCAAGACTCCTGGGTGTCTGCTTCTTTAGGGTATGTAACCAAGAGTGAAATTGCTGAGTTTCAGGCCTTAATAGATCCTGGTAAAGCCATTTCCTTTGTGGTTAGACCATAGTAAGCTCTCACTTGCACCATATGATGGGTTCTTTTTTTTCATTTCTTTTTATTTTTACTTCATTGTCAGTACTTTAGTGTCAATGCTGTCTGACCATACAAGTTAACTTTGAAAAGAATTCACATTAGTACTGGAAACCTAGTTGAAAACCAACCCCAGAGTGCTGTTGCTTTGAACCCTTTATTGAGTTTATTTCCCTTCCATTAGGGCTGGCCTGTGAACCTCACCACAGCAGATCGTGTATCTCCACTCCATGAAGCGTGTCTCAGAGGTCATCTGTTATGTGCAACTGTTTTATTAAATCATGGGGCACAGGTACGTGCAGCTTGAATAATATCTTAGAAACAAACTATTGGAAAATGAAAAAGGGCTTTCTATCTTTCTGAAGTTCCCAGCACTTTGATTAGCCTGATTGGAAATATAAAGAGTGCTGCTTTGCAAGAGTGTTAGCCTCATCAAGCTTTAATGATAAGTGAAATACTGAACTTTTGGCTAGAAGGTCATACTTAGAGTCCCTAGCATTTTCTTTATCTGACTGTATTACTAAGTATTGATAAATGATTGGTTATATTTTTGCCTCTCTATCCTTCTGGGTGGTATGAAGTGAAATGCTTTAGAAAGGGTGAAACATTTACCTGAGGATGGCTGGGATGGCTGGGAGAACAAATTCTCTGTGCAGCTTCTCATCCTTTAGCAAGTAGCTTAGATTTATTCATAGGAAAGCAGATATTTCAAGAGCATCACATTTGCTTCTGTCTGATAGGCCAAAGGAAGTCATTTGGGCAAGGCCAGATTCGAGTACTGGAAAAACTAGCCTCCATCTTGGGATGGAAGGGGCAGCAGAGCTGTATTTTAAATGAATGTGCATTGTGGGATAGAAAGAATCCTTGGTCATTTTTGGAAACTCCCTCCGAGTAACAGGATTAACACTAAGGAAACTGTTGAGAGTATGTAGAAGTGTTCATCTATTTTGAGGAGGGAAAGAGAGAGAGAGAGAGAGAGAGAGAGAGAGAGAGAGAGAGAGAGAGAGAGAATTTCTGTAAAAATATGATGTCTACTCACACACATAAGGGACATTAAAATATGATGTCTAATCTGACACATAAGGGACCTTAGAGCCAGTCAGCAAATGGTGAGTTAATGGAAATGCAAGATATAATAAATTCAAATGAACGTCTGGAAGTGAAATTTGTCAAATTTTAGTAAGCAACTTCTTATAGCAGGAGAGTAGAGCAGGCGAGAGGGTTTAGAGCACAAGCAACCTTGTTGTTTATGCCCAGAAAGTGAGCTTTGTCCTGAGATTAGTGTGGAGCCAGAGGTGAGTGCACCATCTGGTTTAGGTCTGGATTAGGGAAATGTATTCAAAACTTGGGAACTGGGCCAAAGGTAAGAGGAAGCAAGCGAGGTACCTGGGGTAGAAATTTTAAAGAGATAATCGGCCCGTGTTCCTGTGGCATATGCAACCCCTAGAGTAAGCATGTCCTTGAAATGTGCACTGTGGCATCTTTTGTACCTCAGCGAAGCCTTGCCTTGCTTGGAAAGAGTCTGGCAATGAATTCGTGTCTTCATAATATCATCATTTAACAGATTTATTAAAGATTTATATAACAACATAGAAGACTCTGTGTATATCCGGGTCTGCTATCCACTGTTTGTAGCCCAAACATGTGACACTGATGCTAACTTGTAAATTTCTGTCAGTCCAACATTAGAAAAAAGAATCACAAAGATCTATGGTTTATGGACTTATTAACAAATTTTGTATCTATTTGCAACCATATTTCAGTGCATATTGACTGACTATATATAAATTATCTTTAATCCAACCTTACTGTCTTACTAATTCTCTTAATGAACGAACTGAATAAAATCTTTGGCTTGTGTTAACTATATTTGTATGAGAGTCAGCCTTTTAAATAAAATATATGCATTTTAACAATTTTAGAAGATTACTCTATTGAGAAGAAACTAGTGTGGTCTAGGATGGAAGTTTAAAATAGGGAAATTAGTTTGTAAACTATGAAAATAATCATCACTAGTTTCAAAGTTCATGGTTCCTAGGAGAGCATTGAGGAGATAGAAACTAACATTCTTACTGACTTATATTTGATTCTTCATTCATTCTTGATTTTCATAACAAACTTTCAGAATTTTGTGTTCCCCAATTTTATATAAAAGCTGTGGAATTTAAGACTCAGAGAAATAAAAAAAACACTTTTGAAGTGGAAGAATTAGAATTGAACTCAGGACACCCTAGAGCTTATCTTCATCTGGATTATTTTTCCCCTGACAGGTGAACAGCATGACTGTAGACTGGCGAACTCCCTTGTTTAATGCTTGTGTCAGTGGTAGCCAGGAGTGTGTGAACCTGCTTCTGCAGCATGGAGCCATTCCCCACCCTGAGAGTGATCTGGCCTCTCCTATCCACGAGGCTGCTAAAAGGGGTAAATCCATTGGGACTTTTGGGACGTTCACTCAATCCTTCAAAGGATATTTTTCTGTTGAAAGAAATAGAGAAGAGGGATATTTTAGATCAACAGTTCTCAGAAGGCCTGGTGGTTGGGACCATTAGCCTGATGGGGTTTCTAAATGCAGACTCATGGGCCTTGCTCTAGCCCCATTGAATCCAAGCTCTCCAGGGGTTTCTGATGTGCAGAAAGTTTGAGAATCTCCCTTTCACAACATATCTAATGGTCATTGCTACATTTCTGGAACAGTGTCTAGGTCATCCATCATAGACTTTATGAATCTTTGAGGAATATATTATTGAACTCATGGTCCTATAGAAATCAAGGTTTTCTTTCCTTTTACATTAGTACATGTTTATTGTATAAATGAATGGGTTTCATAATAATATTTCGATTCATCATATTATTCTAGTTTCCTTCTATATTGCTCTGATAAAACACTGACTAAAAGCAACTTGAACAGGAAAGGGTTTATTTGGCTTACATGTCCTGATCACAGCTCATCCTTGAGGAAAAGCCAGGGCAGGGACTCAAGGCAGGAACCCGGAGGCAGGAAACAAAGCAGAGACCATGGAGGAATGCTGCTTAATGACTTGCTCCTCTGTCTGGCCTGTGCTCAGCCTGCTTTCTGAACCCAGGACTTCCTACCCAAGGGTGGTGATACCCACAGTGGCCTGGGCCCTCCTACAACACTCAACAATCAAGAAAGACATGCCCACATGTCTATCCAATAGACAAAATTCCCAACTGAAATGCGCTCTTCCCAGGTGTGTCAAGTTGACAACTGAAGCCAACTATGAAATATAGCAATGTCTTGACCTATTCAACCCCATTTCTCTCTCCTGCCCCCACCTTCCTTCTCATGTTCTTCTTCTTCTCAACTAGTTTCCCCTTTACTGTTATGGTGTGTACTTGTGTGTGTGTGTGTGTGTGTGTGTCTGTCTGTCTGTCTGTCTGTGTCTGTGTGTAATGTATTTTCCACATATGATTGAGTCGTTTTCTTCTCTTTTTGGCTCTAGGCCATGTGATGTGCGTTGAGTCCCTTGTGTGTGTGTGTGTGTGTGTGTGTCTGTCTGTCTGTCTGTCTGTGTCTGTGTGTAATGTATTTTCCACATATGATTGAGTCGTTTTCTTCTCTTTTTGGCTCTAGGCCATGTGATGTGCGTTGAGTCCCTTGTGTGTGTGTGTGTGTGTGTGTGTCTGTCTGTCTGTCTGTCTGTGTCTGTGTGTAATGTATTTTCCACATATGAATGAGTCGTTTTCTTCTCTTTTTGGCTCTAGGCCATGTGATGTGCATTGAGTCCCTTGCAGCTCATGGGGCCAACATTGACTATAACATCAGCTGCCTGGGTTCTCCCCTGTATACAGCATGTAAAAATCAGCAGATAGCCTGTGTGAAGAAGCTTCTGCAGTCAGGTAAGGCAAAAAGCAAAACAAAATAAGGGATGGAAATCAAAAGTAAATGTACTGAAAAATCCTTCTGTCATAGTAGAGGAAATAGTGTGGGCAATGGAGTTAAGCAAGATCAGATATAGACTGTTCTCATGGACAGTTATTCTACACTGAGTTTCAGTTCTCTCATTTGTAACCAGGAGGATGAAGATGGTGGCAGTGGTGATACCCATACCTCCTTTCAGGGTGGTCCTCACTCATCATTAGCTTTTTCTCCCATTCTCTGCTTTTCACCATCTGGACAGTCATGTGTTTAAACCTTGCAAAGCTTGCACAGCTGCGGGATTTGGGCTGAGTCCTCCTATTTGGGACTCTCTTCCACAGTTCCCTTTGATTAGAAAATTAAGCTGGCCTCTCACTTTTAGCCTGAGGTAGACATTTTATTTTCCTTAAAAAGCTATATATGCTGTTGTTCTTTTTCGCTTCCCTACTGTTGTCCAGTCCTCTTCTCAACACTGGGAGCTCATTTCATCAACTCTTTAATTATCTGAATTCTGTTCTGTTCCTTAAGACTCCAGGAATCTCTCTCTGGCACTGAATATTTTCTATTTCTTTTCACTTATTTGGCAGCCGTTCATTTTCATTAATTTTCTCTGCCCTCCTCACCTCTTTCTGTTAATCTTGGTGGACTTTACGCTTCCTGATGTTTAAAACTCTTAGGAAGGAAGGATAATATTTGCCATCTCTCACAAAATAAAATACTATTTATTTTTATTTATAATTTTGATTTTTCTGTATATGAGTGTATTGTCTGTATGTGTGTAAGTGCACCTGTGCTGTGCAATGCCCTTAGAGGTCAGAAGAAGGCACCATATCCGCTGGAACTGGAGTTAGGGGCAGTTGCTAGCAGCCATTTAGGTACTGGGAATTGAGCCCGGGTCCTCTGCAAGTGCAGCCAGTGCTCTTAACCGCTGAGCCACCTCTCCAACCCCACAAAATAAAATACTCCTAAAGAATTATTCCATTAGCCATCAGCTCAGGCAAAAACTGCATGTCCCCACATACCACAGTGTGAGTCGGCTCTGAGCTAGCATGGAGATTTGTTAAGGGTGTAGAGGTTTGCATGACATGGGTGCACTTACATACATGCAGGCAATCATGCACATAAAATAAAAATAGTATTTTTCAAAAGAGAGTAGGAGTAGAACTGGGTAGGACTGATTCTAGAAATTCACCTGCCCCTGAAGAAGACAATTGGTTTTTCTCTCTGTGGTCATGGGATTGATGATTCCAATGTGAAAAATGACTCCCTGAGTTAGTTGTGATGAATGATCCAATTCATGTATTCTCAAGTCCAAGGCTTTAAATATAGTGCTGGCTTCTCAGCGTATGAACTTGGCTGCTAGATGTGTGCAGGGCTTCCCCATCTTGCCTCATTCTTGGTCTGTGCTAATGCTTATGCTTTATTAATAGTGAATATGCAATTTCCATGAAAGCAGGGGTTTTTCTTGACTGTATCATGTCCAGTTCCAATGGTCAGTGGTGAAATTTTAACTCCATATGCTGATAGTTCATGTTTTCTTCAATCATATTGCCAAATACTTTCCTTTATTAATAATTTTTTGGTGTGGTGTGTGTTCATGTGTGTGAGGGTGCACATGTGTGTACAGTGCATGTGCATCTATGTAGAGGCCAGAAATCAGCCTTAGATGCTGTATCTCAGGAGCTATTCATTTTATTTTTTCTTTTAAAAATATATTATTTTTATTTTATGTGTATGAATGTATTGCCTGCATGTATGTAAGTGTACCCCTGTTATGCAATGCCCACAGAGGTCAGAAGAGGGTATTGGATCCCCTGAAACTGGAGTTTTGGACCATTATTAGCCGCCATGTGGGTGCTGGGAACCGAACCCAGGTGTACTGCAAGAGCAGCCACTGGTCTTAACTGCTGAGCCATCTCTCAGCCTCTACTTTGTTTTTTCAAACAAGGTCTCTCACTAGGACCTGGGGCTTGCTGAATAGACTAGGCTGGCTGGCAAACTCCAGGGATCTGCCTGTCTTCACCACTCCAGCACTGGGATTGGAAAACATGTGCCAGCACAGCTGAGTTTTTAATGTGTGTTCTGGGATTGAACTCAGATCTTCGTGCTTGCATGGCAAGCACTTTATTGACTGACCTGTACCTCAGTCCCCCATTTTCCTTTTATTATTAAATAAAATAAAATCACTTTCTATTTGCACAGAATTACACTCACAGTAGATCCCTCCTTTAGTAGAGAATTTTGAGATTCCATGTTGTGAGAAAGGGAAGAGTGAGACAGTGCTCTTTGGCTGATGCTCTTATGTTCTTGTGACCAATTTAGGAGCAAGTGTGAACCAAGGCAAAGGCTTGGATTCCCCTCTGCACTTAGTGGCCAGGATGTCCAGTAGGGAACTGGCACACCTGCTGATGGACTTCGGGGCAAACACTCAGGCCAAGAACGAGGAAGGCAAACGTCCTGTGGATCTGGTGCCTCCAGAGAGCCCTCTGACCCAGTTCTTCTTGCAGAGAGAAGGTGCTTCTCCTTTGACTGAATCTAGAAGTTATAATCCATAAAGACTTCTTTGGTCTCTAGTGTAAGGCAGATACTTAACTAACTTCTGACATCCAATCCTATAAAAGATCACTGTCTACTATCATCAAACAAGGGGGACCTGAGACAATTGAAAATTTAACAAGGCACAGTAGTGGTTATAAATGACTCCATAAATAGCCTTTTGCTGTTCGGTATGTTGGAGCCAGGCCCTTTGGGATGGTCTAATATTCATATATGTGCAGATCAGCTTTCAGATTTGAGATACTAAAGTATTTGATATTTCAGTTAACCAAAGCATGTTTTAGAATGATTAAGAAGCCTTTTCAGTATTATTTGAAACCCCAAGATTTCTTACTGCACTGTAGATAAGCCAAACACTGAGCAATAGATTTCTGAGGTTTGATGCAGCTCAGAGCTTAGGGAATTTGTTTAATGATTCACCCCAGTCCAGATACATTTACTACTGCAAGTTAACCACATTTCTCCATAAGTAAGAACTGACACTGTTAATCCAAACATCTAAACAGTGATTGAGCACTGTATAAAGGAGAAGAGGGTACTGAGTTGTCTTTGGAGATAATTCAGGAGTGACTTCTTTTTAAAAAATATTTTATTTATTCTATTTTATGTGTATGAGTGTACTGTCTGTATGTGTGTAAGTGTACCCATTTGTTCAGTGCCCATGGAGGTCAGAAGAGGACGTCAGATACTCTGGAACTAGAGTTATGGACAGTTGCTAGAGGCCATGTGGGTGCTGTGAATTGAACCCAGGTCCTCTGAAAGAGTAGACAGTGCGCTTAACTGCTGAGCCATTTCTCCAGCCTCAGGACTCAGGATCAACTCCTCCTCCCCCTCCCCGCCCTCCTCCCTCCCCCTTTTTTCTTTTCTTTTCTTTTCTCCTTCCTTCCTTCCTTCCTTCCTTCCTTCCTTCCTTCCTTCCTTCCTTCCTTCCTTTCTTTCTTTCTTTCTTTCTTTCTTTCTTTCTTTCTTTCTTTCTTTTCTTTCTTTCTTCTTTCGTCATGGGACTTTGAAACAGGCCTCCCTACCAGAAGGGCTCTGATATGCTATAATCTGGTTATTTCCTTCTACACCTACTGCCCCAGGCCACTTGCCCATCTTGCAGTGCCTGGAATTCCCAAGCAGTGCAAGTCAGGCTATGTAAATCTGACCTATTGAGAAAGAACCCTCTACCAGAAATCCCTTTATGTTAAGCAGTGGGATAATCACTGGGCATTTCTGCCTCCATTTTGATGCTTTCTTGTTTTGAAAAAGTCTGTGTCTATATGCAGGGCCAATTTCTCCAATAGTGCCTCAAGGACCACAAAAGTGTCCTAATTCTGTTTAAAAATTGGAAGAAAACTGAATAAAATCCAACCAGAATTACATTCATCTTTATACCAACACAGTCGTAAAATGCAATTTTTAATATTTTTTATTGGAAATGTGATACAAAAAAGCTTTTGTGCCTAGGGCCCCCTAAAGTCACATCATATGATGAATATATCTCCACCATCAGATAATCACATCAGATTTTCAAATTGTCTTCACTGGTGTTTTCTTTCCACTTTATTTCCCAAAGCTATTTCTAGAGACCTATATTGTCTTTAATTCCCTTATTTTTCACTTTGCAGGGTGACATTGTAACCTATGATGTCACTGGTTTATAACGAATCCTTTAGGGGTTTAGGAATATAGCTTAGTGGTAGAGCACATGCTTAGTATACAGAAGGGTCTCAGGGCCCCAAACAAGTAAGCATGCAAACAAACAAAGAAAAGTATAACTTGACATTGAAGAACATCAATGCTCTTTTGCCTCTATGAGTTGTTTTTGGGATTCTGATGATAGCACTTCTCAGCAGGCTAGTAGGCCACCAGACATGGTCCTAGGCACATGCAGAAAGTTAAATGTGCGGATTGAACACAGCGGTTTCTGTCTCTGAGTTTCCCTGCTGATTCAGCCCACCTGTTCCTTTGTGCCCAGGGAGGCAACTTAATTAAATTCCTGTCTTTTTTTTCCAATGGTGTAGGGACAAGGAAATATTAGCTAAAACTTAGCCATGTTCTGAATTGGGCTTTGCATCATTGTTAGGAAAGTCAGAACCTTCTTTGAAGGCTAAGGAAAAGGATGTCAAGAATATTATCCTTCCTCCCTTTGATCAACATCTGAAACAATGATGGCTCCTGGCACACAATGAATACAAAAATTTAAGCCCAAGCTTGCTCTGAAGGCTTGTACTTCATTGAGCTTTATCACGGCCTCCCAGTTGTCCCTAACAGTGTGCCTAGCACATATGATTAGTCATACCCTTCAACATTCCTCAGTGAGGTTAGATGAACTTCTATTTCCCCAGAGTGTATGTTGTGTAATTCATTAGTATATGCCTTGAACACATTGACATAATCTGAAACGTGTCTGAATTCCCACAGAACCGATTCCGGAAAGTGCTGTTAGGGTCACACTTAAAACTTACATTTTTTTTCTTTGATTATATTTGTCTATTTCCACCTCTTCTTGCTCTCCATCTCTTTCCTGACAGACATATGACTCAGTTTCCCTGTAGCTTGTGATGCGGCTAAACAGGGCAGTAGAGGACACAGTATCATTTCAACTGTAGTCTTAATACTGACTTAATGATAAAAATGACCCAGGACCTCTGCCTTAAACAAAATCCAGATTCACAGCACCAATCAACAATAATTGAAGCAATATCTCTTGGAAGCGACCCAGCAGCATATAGTTTACCCAGCCCCCCTTACTGTAGTCAACTGTAGAGTGCACCCTGGATTGAGGGCTACTGCTTCCTGGTGTTATTGAGGGAATACAGCCTTTTAAAAAAAAGTACCCAAAGAGAATTTTCATTATTATTTGGTGTATGGAATGGGTGGGTGATTACACTGTACTCTTTTTTAATATAACAGGTTTAGTCAACCTTGATACATTTAAAAATATTTTATTTATTAATTTTATGTGTATGAGTGTATTGCTTGTATGTATGTAAGTGCACCCATTTCGTGCAATACCCGAAGAGGTCAGAAGAGGGTGTCGGATTCCCTGGAACTGGAGTTACAGATGGTTGTTAGCCACCATGTAGGTACTGGAAATTGAACCCAAGTCGTCTCCAAGAGCAGCCACTGCTCTTAACTGCTGGGCTGTCTCTCAAGCCCCACAATCTTGGCCCTATTGACAGTTCAGGCCAGTTGGGAACTGTGCTGTATACTGTGGGATGCTGAGCAGCATCCCTGCCTTTTATCTACAGGATGCTAGCAACATGTTACTCAAGCAATGCTAGTAAAAAAAAAAAAGTGTCTCCAGTGCTGATCAACATCCACCAGGAATCAAAATATCTTCTCTTCTTTCCTACCCACCTGTCCCCTCTTTACTTTCCACCCATGAGTTGAAGCTTTGGGATAGCTTTGAATACAGAATATAAAAGTAAATATAACTGAATAACATAGACTTATGATTCATTGCTAGCTCCATATCTTTGAGTGACTAAAATTTTTATCTTGAATATCTTTAAATTGCTAAAATTATAAAATAAGCATACTTGCATCTAGAAATGTGACCTAACTTTAAGGTAAAAGACAACACTGTTAAACGTGACTTATTTTTATTATTAGAAATTTGTGGCGCACACCTTTAATCCCAGCACTTGGGAGGCAGAGGCAGGCGGATCTCTGTGAGTTAAAGGCCAGCCTGGTCTACATAGTGAGTTCCAGGACAGCTGGGGCTACAGAGAGACCCTGTCTCAAAAAGACGAAAAAAAAAAAAAAAAAAAAACAACAAAAAACAACAACAACAAATAAAGAACAAAAAACCACACACAAAAAAGTGACTTCTTATTTTTATTATTAGAAATGTATTAGAATAGTTATATAATTCCAAAGTTAGTGTTCCTTAAGCCACTGATTGCTGATGCTAAATTTTAAATTTCTTTCACTCTGCCCTAAATTAACATCCAATGAGGATCTGGGGAGATGGCTCAGTGATTGAGAGCATTCCTTCTTCTTGCACTGAAGTTTGGTTCTCAGCACCTACATCCAGCAGCTTACAACTGCCTGTAATTCCAGCTCCAGGGATCTGACACCCTCTTTTTACCTCCAAGGGCAACTGCATGCACTTGTACATTCTAACACGCGCCCACCCCACATGCACATAAATAAAAATAAAAAATAAATGGCGACAGCAGGCACAAGTCCTATGGAAGCTCAAACCAGACAAAAATCCCTGCATGGACATGAGGAAGTGGGGAAGAAATCCCCACCCAACCTAAGGAACTTTTGGCAATTGATGACTGCTGGGAGGCAGAGAGATAGTGTCTTTCACAGGGATGGGACTCCTGGTGGGCCCAGTGGATGGATCCTTACTGAAGGACATTGGGGGACGGGCGCTAATCATACACTATAGGCCATATTATATATGAGATTTCATTAAATTGGGTGGGGACAGTAGGGGGAGGTGCAGAGAGGGGAGCAGATCTAAATGCCATCAAACTATATTGTATGCAAGTCACAAAAATTCAATAAAAAATGAAAAAAAACCCCACAGTGAATTTACTTCAGCTAAATACAAGAAAGGAGAGAACATGGTCTCAAACTGCCTCCTCAATAAATTAAAATAATAAATAAATAAATAAATAAATAAAGATGAATAAAGGGAAATGGTCTTAACAGCACTATAGTATTGCCGTATAAAAATGTTAGCTACTGTATGATTAAAAAAAGGAAGGATGGGGCTAGAGAGATGGTTCAGCTCAGCGATTAAGAGCAGTGGCTGCTTTTGTAGAGGACCCAGGTTTGATTCCTAGAGCACACATGGCAATTAACAACCGTCCTTAACTCCAGTTCCAGGGGAATCGAATACCGTCTTCTGACCTCCTTGGGCATTTCACGACACAGGTGCACTTACACACATACAGGCAACACACTCATACACATAAAATAAAAAAATAATAAAGAAAACATTTTTTTAAAAGGAAGGAAAGCAGTCTTAGATGAGTGAAACCAGTGTGAGACTTTTCCTATGCTCTTTCTGCAGGGCCCCCTTCTCTGATGCAGTTATGCCGCCTGCGAATCCGAAAATGCTTTGGAGTTCAGCAACATCATAACATTACTTCACTCGTGCTCCCAGAAGATCTGAAGCGCTTTCTCCTACACCTTTAACTGTGTGAAAGGAGTGGATTCACAAACAATTAGAAAACAGTGTTGAATGTGGCCACAGCATTTCAAATAAAAGTAGATTTATAGAATTTTGCTCTCTTTTTTTTCAATTAGACCCTTATTTTTAATAGAAACACAGTGGCTTCTTAATATTATTGGTTAGAAAGTAGGAAGACTGCCTGTCTTCTGCTTGAACATGAGTGCCTAGAAAAATCCTGCCCCCACATGGTGAAGCCTTTGAGAGGGAACTGACACTGATTCTAACCACTCCAACAGCTATCAAAGTGCCTGAAAACAAATCCTGAGCCCATCACTCTCGAGTCCGCCCTTGGCAGACAAAGGAAAAATGAGGAGGAACCCAATAGAGGGATGCTTTTGGAACCTGTCGTCAAGAAATCCCAATGGACTCTGATATGAACATTTGAAATTTGCCCTGTAACCCACTGAAGGGGTATCCCAGTTGCCTCGCCCTGCGTCTCTCTTCAGCATGGAAGAAGCCAGAGCGGTCTGCATCCTGATTCCCTATAGACAAGCTGGGTAACCTCTTCAGGGGATGGTGTGACATCATGTACTTGTTATTTGACTTTTTGTGGTTTATTTATTCAGATTGTGAATGTTTTCAAAATTTTTTCTACAATGTGTATATGCAAATGTTTAAATATGCATTCATACCTGTTTGTTATGTCTAAAGAAAAGTATCCAGTTTCTTGGCTAACAGTCAAAATGTCCTTGGGCCTCTTAGCAACAAACTGTGTTCCAAAGGACAAAAATGTCGAAAGTATTTGGGAGCTCTTATCTAATCCCTAAAAGATTTTAGGGTTACCTCTTCAGAGGGGGGAATGTTAGAGTAGCAAAAAGCCCCACTAAAACAAAAGAAAGAAAGGAAGGAAGGAAGAAAGAAAGAAAGAACACGAAGCTGTCAGAAGTGATGGGGAGACATGAGAGGTGTTGGAGGAGAGGGAGTGGGCATGGATTTGATCAAAACACCTTATATGCATGTATAAAATTCTCAGTAAAAATTTTTTTAAAGTTAAAAAAAGACCAAAAAATTTTTTAATTAAAGAAAATATTTAAAAAATAAATAAATGTTAAAGAAAAAAATTGCCATTGTTTTCGAACATCTACTATGCCAAGCACTAAGCAAGGAACACTTTATGCATCACCTAATTTAGCTGTCACAGCAAACTGGCCAGGTGGATCCTATTTGTTGTCTTTTCCATGTAATACACTGAAACTCAGGTTGATCAATATATCCAATTACCCAGATAAAGGATTGAAGAGCCAGATGCAAACCTATGTGTTCTCCTGTTAACTTGGACAATTTCAGCTAGGATGGAATTTTCTTAAATTTTTTTTGATGGATTTATTTAATGTGTATAAGTGTTTTGCCTGCATGTATGTAAGAGCACTGGTGTCTTGCAATGCCCACATAAGCCAGAATCCCCTGGAACTGCACTTACAGAAGATTAGCCTCATGTGGATGCTGGGAACTGAACCTGGATCCTATGGAAGAACAGAGGGTGCCATCTCTCAAGCCCCTAAGATAGCATTTTCTATGATTACTGCCCTGGCTCTATCTCTATGACATGGAACTGGCCTGGAACTCACTATGTAGACCACACTGGCCTTAATCTCAGAGATCTGCCTGCTTCTGCCTCCCGTGTGCTAGGATTAGAGGTGTGCGCCACCTAGCCTATCTTGCATCTATTTTATTAATGTTTTGTGGCCTTGTGAAAAAAACCACTTCCTTAGAGTATAGCAGTAAGTTCTTTTTCTCACCCCAGATTCATATACATGGTAAGCAAATTCTAGAACCATGCTGTCCAATAGAGTAGCCTCTGGCTTAGGCATTCTCAACTGTGGGTGATTTTTGATTAGCCTCTTGCCCCACAAACTTGAGGGATATTGGCAATGCCTGAAGAAATTTTTGGTTGTGTTAAAGAGAAGTCTACTTCTGGTACAGGCTCGGGGCTCTCAACCTTGGGTGATCTTTTATATTCCCCTCATTCATGAGGTATTGGCAATACCTTGAGATATTATTGACAATGCCTTGAGATATTTTTAGTTGTCTTAACTAAGGGAAGTGTGCTGCTGGTACTGGCTCTTATCTGTGAATGATTTTTGATGGTCATCCCTCCCACATCAGGGCATATTGGCAATGCCTGGAGACATTTTGGTTGCCTTATCTAAGAAGTGTGCCACTGGTATCTAGCAGGTAGAGGCCAAGGTTCTGAAAAACATCCTGCTATTCACAGGATATCCCTAGCCCACACAACAGAAAGTTATCAATTTTGAAATGTAGCCGGTTCCTGAGTTAACAAATCCTGAGCTATACATATATGGCTAATTTTTTTTTTAATGAATCAATTGGCTGGACATGGTGGTTCATACCTTTAATCCCAGCATTCAGGAGGCAGAGGCAGGTGGCTCTCTATGGGATATAGACCATTCTGGTCTACATAGCGAGTTCCAAGCCAGCTGGGGTTACCGGGAGGCCCTGTCTCAAAAAAAACAAAAAAACAAAACAAAAAAACAAACAAACCAACAACAGCAACTACTGAACAACTACTGAATGAATTAAAACCAGGTCCAATAAAAACTCCAACTCCTCAATATCATTAGCCACGTATCACATGGCTAGCGGCGACTGTGTTGCACTACACAGATATAAATAATCGTAGAAACTTGTATTCGACAGTGGTTTTTAGATGGTCAGTTAATAGCTGCTTTTCAGGTTCAGGTTTACAGGAAACCTGTGATATAGGTTAGTATTGCTGGTTGTACTTCTCTCTGAGAGATGATCTTGGGGTTCCATTATATCAATTTAAAGAAAGAAAACAAACATTGTAACTATTTAAAGAAAATAATTACATATTAGATGACATATGGCCTAGATGATCCCAAAAGATATTTCCATTTTTTTTTCCTGTGATTGTTTAATTTGCTATATGCAGAATCTAGACTATTCAAAAATTCCCAACTAGTTCTACCAGTAGATGGCGCTGTTGCCACATAGTTATTCAAGCAAAAGGCTTATCTTAAATGAACCATCATAAAATGCTTTGCAAGAGAGGCTCTGGAAATTTCCAGTTAGGAATGAAAACTTGCTAGTGATAGATTCCACTGACAGTGGGTTTCCTTCTCTCACTTTTAGACAATTGTTCTGGTGTGACTACAGCACTTCACCTCCTATTTTTTTTTACTTCTTAATTTGACCGTGTTTGCTTTTCCTGCTTAGAATTTAGACAGCTCATGTACAGAAGCATTTTCCAACTTGCTAATTCATGTCATTTAATTCAGTGAGCTCA